CAGCAGAGCGACATCCACGACTTACCCGCTTTTTTTAGAATAGAATTCCGCTTCAGATTAGGAAATAAAAAATATAAATCGTATAGGTTAAACTATTATTTGAAAAATACCTATAATGATGAAACAAAMATTTTTAAAAATTAAAATTTTATACCTGTTGAGATTCATCCGTTAGCTGCATACACTTGGAACTGTCCATCGTCGTTTCGGCGTCAATGATGGTGTCGAGTTCCCACCACGGTGAATTGGAAGTCGCTTCGCCTTCGGACGGCGTGTGGTACGACGAAGATGACCTGGAAGGCGGCGTACCGGTACAGTCTGAAGCCGTCACAAAGTCTTCGGCGTCTGACCGGCTACTYCCGCAGAGGATGTTCTCTTCCATTTTCGTCGTCGCCGTCACGCAGTCCTTATTTTTGTCAGGCGATTTGTTCAGATTCACATACCACTCCTATGGCACCAACAGATTCGCGTGTTAATTAATATTTATTATCATCATGCATTATTAACAATCGTTCATAAGTTATTATAATCAACGAAGAATTTAAAACTATACATTTCAACGATTCCTAATGAATAAACTAATGTATAAAAACGTTGACGTGAGGACTGGGGTTTATCTCTATATCTCACTTTTTTATGCATTCATGATGCCAATATGGAAAGGTATCATATAGGATAGTCGTATCTCGTATATTATTGGATTAAGTCATAAATATTTATAAACTCGCCTGTGTAACGTTACCGCTAGAATCATCTAGCACGTGTGTAATCGTACTCTGGGCCAATCCGGATAGGGTAAAGTCTAATTGTTCGGCAAGTTCGGTGACCACGGACAGTTTCTGACAAACCGAATCCACCGCACTCTCGTTGAGGTACCGTACGTCTTCGTTCCTGAAAACCGCACATACATACATAACATCGGATATTTTTTTATAAATATAAACATTATATTATACACAGCATCTGTGTTGCTTTTTCTAATCTTTTATTAATTTTTTTTTGTTACTTTTGTTGAACGCAAAGAGGCTCGCGAAGTCTAGTTTTGAGCATGCGCCCGAGACGAACRGTCCGGCCGACTTCCAACAGGATTTTCTCCCTCGACACCAAACACTTGCGCAATCGACCTTTATGTTTACTGGTATTRTTGTTGTTCTCGTCCTGAATGGTTTGCACGGTTTCCATTAGCTCTCTGAGCTGTCCGCAGTACTAAATAAATATGTAATAATAATTACAAATCACAATAACTATTCAATTAATACCACAACGATATGTATAGCCATCCCAAACCATATGTAGACATGACAATATTTTATAAGTATTAAYATCTATCCCATATATTTTAGATTTTTAGATTTTTTTACCTTATCGACGTTTCTGTGGTAAACGGTAGACACTCGTAACCGCGTCAATTGCTCTTGGCTAATATCGTCGAGTTGTTTCCAAGACTGCCATAAACTGTTGGCGAGTGTAGAATTTCTCGTTTCGGTCAATTTACAGGATTGTCGTAGGGACAGAGCAGCGTTAAGCAACTGGCAACCGTAATCATAAGTACCCTAAAATAATAAAACCGATAAATTATCAGTCAAGTGAGATGCGAACARTAGGTAGTTTTATGTCAATAATGCATTACTTTTGCTGTTTCTTGGAACGCTTGGTGTTCTTCTTTTTGAGCTTGAATTTCTTCCGCGTTAGATCCTACGTGATAGTGAGATTTGAGTAGAACATGATACAAGTCTTCTAACCATTGGATTGCCTACAAATTATCGAATCGAACAATGTGGTAATACTATGATTATAATTACTACAAAGTATAAAAAATATATTAATTTGCTTTAATTAATATAACGATGAAAAAACAACAACTATAAGTCGTGCTAAATCTAAATATTCCGTTTAATGCTGCATAGTGCACACGCAGTGCTCACAGATTGTTGAATACAGTTATATTTTACGTTTGTTACTTTCCATAAAAATTAATTTACAATAAATTAATGAAAGTTGTGTCTGATATAGTGATATGTATATATACATAAAATATAATTTAACACACCATAAATGTTATAGGTTACACAATACACATATATCATAGAACTYACTTGTGAAGCGTCTGTTTCGTAGTTTAGTACATACGAAACCTGTTGCAACGTCAATCGCTGCAGTTCCACGCTATCGCAAAACAATTGACACCGAGCCTTAGTCATTTCCAATATTTCAGATACGTTTACGATGTCCGCTTCGTAATCGACGTTTAATGCGACTCCCATGGCRTTTTTAACGGGCATCGATAGCATGTCAGATAATTTTTCGCCTTCTTTTACTAAATCTCTTTCGATTTGTTCTAAACAATGCATAATAATATAACACATGAGAAAATAAATTCAAAAATAATAATTCTATGTCAAAACTTTATGATATTTAATTACCAATATTCTCTTGTTGTTGCTTCAACTGTAACAGAGTATTATCAGCTGACTCTAAGGCTTCAATGTCGGTACCCATAACCAAAGTTTCGTAAACATCACTTGTAGTTTGAAAATACTAAACAAGTTTGCGTCCAATTATTTAGTATGACAAACAAATTTAAAAATAAATAAAAACATTGTACATAATACATAACACACATTACCTCTGCGACCAATCGGAAAAATCGAGCTGACGTTATAAGTAAATTTCTCCTTCTTTCTAACCGYGTAGCAAAACTTCGGCACACGAAATCCATGAAGTCCCGTTGAGCTAATAGGTCCTTGTAGCAATGGGAATTAGAGTTGGGAAGGTTATTGATTTTGTGAAGTAGTTCAGCATAATGTCCATAGGTATCCTTTTAACAAACAATATACATTAATTACTCGCTATAACTACTAATTTAAAGCYAGAAAAGGTACTATGATCACTTCTACCATGAACTAAATTATATATATAATAATATATGTTATATAATTACTCGGCATTGAAGTTCGAATGCTTCATGATTTCTCTTGTACTCTTCCGCCGAGACAATATCGTAGCCTACTTGTTGTTTTCCATTCAACATCTCTTCGCCCGGCCCGAGAATCCAATTGACGACGTGTTTTATGCCTTGTTCCAAATATCGCATTTCCTATAATATAACGAAGATATACACAAAATATCAAATAGGCGTCTAATGAATAGTCAACGGATACACTAACACATATGATTAAAAAACAATTACCTTAATACTTTCGACTTTTTTCTGTACGCCGTTCCAGCAGTCGACGACCACCATCATTTTATCGTGGACGATCCTCATATACCGGTCAAGCGCTTCTTTGGTATCTAAAACATCCTGCGGAAACGGTTGCCCTTGATCCGCGTACATTTTTTCAATCCGCTGGCATATGGCCTGGCCGGATTGAGATACCTTTTTCACATGATCGATAACGATGTTAAACTTTTCACCAGACACAGTCAGCACGATGTCAGCTGTGCTGTGTTTTAGCAAATCCTGATTATTGGTCAAGTGCTGTCTTAATTTTTCCATATCAGACACGGCAATCTCCGAGCTTTTGATGAACTCTTCAACTCTCTTTATAAGACAACAGACAGGCCAAACGCGGTTAAATACAGTA